TTATAAATACAGGTTTGTAATATATATATTTTTTGTATTTATTTCTATTCCTTAATAACGTCCAGGCAACAAATTTATGTCGTTTTTTTATTTTTCGATGGAAAGCCTTAAATGCCTAAGAATTAAATGCTTTTTTTTTAAATAATAAATTATTTTACATTTTAATTTTGGACAAACTGCTTAACCGTTGACTAAGAGAGGTACTCATGGTAAGAAAAAAAGCCCAAAGGGGTAGGCTACACAAGTCAAAAAAGTTTGGGAACCACTGGTCTACAGGATGCACAGAGCTTGGAATATTAATCTCCCTTTGCTTTCAGGCTTTTGTTGTGCTCCTTAGCCTTCTACATGCTTTCCTCACTAATGTTCTGAACCTTCATAGAGTAGCTGTAATCCTCCTGGGATTAAACTGCACTTACAGTGAACTGTATGCTAATAAACATCAGGACCAGAATAAAGTTTATTGCCAAGTAGGTTTGCACTTACAAGGAATTTGACTTGGTTTTGATGGCCACAGCTTTCAGAATTATATCTGAAATTATTTGAAACGAATTTACCATTTTCTCTTCACTTCACATTTGACATTATGCTGGTGTATTCCATTAAATCCTAAATATGTAACTATATGTGAAAGGTTTCCAGGGGTATAAATGCCTTTACAAGGCTCTGCACACTATCAGGTATCTCAATCTGGCAAAGGTATGTAGAGCTGTAGTTTCATACTGTGTTAATTGTAATTAACAGCTGTGTCTGCGTGTGACTAATACTCCCACGTCTGAACTTTACTTCTCTACGTGAGTCATTTGTTAAATGAGCAGCACTAAATGACAGATGCTAGGCTAAGCCAACTCACTGCTGGTGTCAAAGGAATATTCTACTCTTTCCTACAGTGGCTGGTTTCATGTTTTAGATGACAATCCTTCCTCTGGTTATATAGGTAAGGGTTATTCTAGATAAAAACATAAAGGAGATAGTGGTTAAATTTATTATCCCCCATTCACAGCATGTCCATTCATAAAATAGGCCCTACGTCCATAGTGGTCAGCTAAGATAGCGACCAATCACGATGGCTTGACAAAAAACCCCCTGATCTGATAACTTAAGATTGGTTTGGGACGTCCACAAAAACCCTTAACCAAAAAGGGCTTTTTTAATGCCTGCTCCAATCTGTCTATATGATAACTAATCTGTCTTTAAAAATTGATTCATTTGTCTCAGTAAAGTGCTTTCAGATAACATTTCTTCTGAATTGGTGCTATATACATAAACTGAACTGAACTGTATCATGTTGGTCTGACTATATCTTATATATATAAGATTATATTTTGACCCAGCTTTTTTCAGGAAGGTATGGTTAAGTAGAAACTAGGGCTGAAACAAAAAATCTGATTAATTGATTATTCAAATTATCAGCGCCTAATTGAAAAATCGATTAATCGGAGTATAGAGACTGGAAAACATGCCTTTAAGCTCACAGAGCGACTCACTTAGAGCAGCAATTATAACAATATTGTAGAATAAATATATAAACATTTTGCATTTAAGATTTAAAAAAAACTTTTCATCTGTCAATATGCTCTATCCAGAACTCCTGAAGGGGAAAATTTTTAGTTTTACCCCATTTAATTTCTGAAAAAATTTTCTTTAAGGAACCTTTTATTATCCAATTATTAATCCATTCATCGAAAAAATAATCAACAGATTAATTGATTAGCAACATAATTGTTAGTTGCAGTCCTAGTAGAAACATATCGAAATACAAAGTTAATAGTTCTCTAAAATTTAAATAGGCTCTACAAGGTAACAATGTGCAACAGTTTGTGAAAAACTGGTACATTTTAGTGGGGATGAATAATATTTTTATTCTTATGAATATTGGGCGATATATGTTGTGATAAACATAAAAGTAAAGCAAATGATTCATCATCCTTATCTGAAATGTATGATTACTTCTGCCAAGGAGGTTTTGTTTTAAGGTTGTTTTTTGTGGTTGGTAATGTTTGTTTGAAAGTTATGAACAGACTTTTTAAATTTCTACCACAGATGTGTCTCTTCCTAGGAACAATCCTTATGATTTTGGTTGTGATACAGATCATAATCAGGATGCAGAATTTTTTAAAGCATTCTTTAAGTTTTTTAATAGGTTTTTAGTAGGTTATTTGGTGGAACAAGACAACTTCAGCGTCAGAGTCAAAAAATACTAGAATTACACTGAAGACAAAAATACAAATAAAACAAAAGAGAGCCATTCCTTGTTGATATCTCGCTTTGCCAATTAAAGCAGAGCAAATAAAGAAGGTGAGAGCAGAACAGACACCAGAGGCTGCAGACACACGCTGTGCCATACTTCTAAATATATGAAAGGATTTTAAGGACGCATCTACCAGAGGTGTGCCTCAATCTAAGGAACAATTAAATAAAATGTTGTTATGACCCAGATCATGTGATACTTTTACTTTTAGCTGATACTTTTTATGTCCAAGTCACAATATGGGTTCTTGGCGGAGTTCTAGATCTCCAAATGCTCTGGTCTGTTTTATAAAGTAAGACCCCATGTATGATAACTGCTAAACTTTTTTCCAACAGGCTTCCTCAGTACAAGAGTAAAACAGTGAAAACGTGGCCCGCAACAGCCCAAAATGACTGCATTCAATCAGAATTTTAATAGAAGATATTTATGAACACTCTGAAAAACAAATGCAGCTTATATTGTGAAAAACCGAAAGCAACAATACTGATGGCACTTTCAGTGTTGGAGTTCTCAAACCTCATCAAAAAGAGTTTAGTATTGATCATTATTAGTTTTAGCAAGGGTAACTTTTTTTATCGAGATAAATAACAAAACGGCACAATAATTTACCATCCGTATTTATAAAAAGGGAAAACATATAAAGAGCCATTGCACTTTTACTGTAGATTGATTCATGGTTGCAGTATTTCTGAAGCTTCAGCAGCTCTACAGGAGAAATGAGCGCCAAACTTATAAAGTTTGTTAGGCTCAAATGTAAAACAGGACTGGGGGCCGAAAGGGACATAAACACACTTAATTTCTTTTTAAAACATCTTTTTTAAGATGAAAGTCAACAATTAATATTTTGTGCACTTATTGTGAGCCTTTTAGAGCCAAAGGAGGATATTTCCCGAAAGCTACTGGCTACACATAATGCTCAAAATGGGAGCTGCTTAACCATCACTGATACTGACAATGCTTCTAACTGTTTATATGATTCTGCAAACCTGCATTTGTCTAAAGCCTGCAGGACCTCATTTATGCTTTATGGTCTGTGAACAAATCTGTTTTTGTTGGGTTAAAGGAGATAAAGCTAGCTTGGGGAGCAATATTAAGGGATAAGCCCAAAATGTAGAATGATATATGAAATAATTTGTAGTTTTTTTTCAGTCAATAATCATTTAAATATGACTGAATAAGAGCATCACAACCTCAACAAATATGTTGAAGACAATGGGGATAATAAAGTAAAAACTGCACCAAGTACAAAAGGTCTAAGGATATATTTTGAATTCCTGGAAGCTCTGTATGGGGGCAAAAGGCCACTTTGAGCTGTATTAGCAGAGCAAGCACTTAAATGTCACAAGTAAAATGTAGTGATCTCTGACTTACCACACAGTTCAGAAGTACAGCTCTAGTGAAACTCAGTGTCATTAATGTTACAAATACTAGAGTACACAAACACAAAACACTTTCTTCACCCCGACTTGATCTCTGAGAAAACCACAACTCAGCTGCTCTCCATGAAAACACAACAAAACATGACAACAGAGAAAAAGAACTTAGCCCTTAGGTCACTACTGACTACTGAAAGGTGGCATTTAACGCCCGTTACTAAAAGCCAAAAATCTAGAAAAAAAAAAAATGAAGTACTTTGCAAACAAATTTTATCCCCTTAAACTTTTTCAAATTTTGCTGTGTTACAACCTTAAACTTCAGTTAACTTTTAATGCAACAAAACAAAGCAACGCATAATTGTGAAGAGAAAGTACACATACCAAGACTGGACGTTTTCAAAATGTTTCTGTGTAAAATACTTCCAGCTCATTTAGACTAAATACGGGGCATCTATAACATTGATCCTCAGATTCTTAAAGGGATTTAAGTAAGGACTGCTTCAACATCACCAGGGGCCTCCCCACTTCTTCCATGAATTATACGGTCATTGTCTAACCTCCCAGTTTGGCTGGAAGGGCATGTCCGCGTCGGTTTTTTGGCTATGAGTCGCTGGATCATTTAGTGCTCTGTGAGGTGTTAAAAGCTTCAAATATTGCTTTTTAGCCCGATCTTTGAAATCTCTCCACAACCTTCTCCCTGACACATCCCTGCTTTGGCTTTTGTTATTCTGTAAATTTCTGTTCTATTTAGGCAACTTCACGATCTCTCTATGTGTCACAGTGCTTTATTTAGGGATATTAGAGTAAAGGAGACTGAAGAAAAATGTATGCCAGTCTTTGAAAACATTTTACCTATCATATATGTGCAACTCTGCAGCACATATATGTTAAAAATGCACAGAAGGGCATGGAATGAACATAATCTAAATTAGCTGTAGCGCCAAAGTAAACCAGCTTAATTGTTTTCTGTTCTACTGCCATTTTTGGCAATACAAGTCTAACCGATGTTTACCAAAGACAAGGGCTCTTGTCTGATACCCCATCTGCTCTAGTGCTTTTATCACAGCCTACTGATTGTTTTGAATAGGACAAAATAAAGTGTAGGGGCTTTATGATACCAGACAGCTAACAGCAACAGCTAGGGGAGGGATGGGGCAGCACTACGGTCCTTATAACAGTTGATGATGAAAATACCTTTTCCTATTCTTGCCATCTTACTGAACGGAATTTGAACCACAGGAGTTGTATGAAAGCTGGTCTTTCAAACCTCAAAGTAAGAAATCAGTCAAACCATAGAGCTCTCGGAAAGATTATCCATCAAGAATTCAGACGCCTAACAGTAACCCTCTTCCCTGCTCTAAATGTCTGTACATTACCTTGGTGATGAGGATGCGGTAGTGTTCAAGCAGGTCATGGTTGTCATGGCACCCAGCCAGCAGCTGCCAGACTTCAGCTCTAAGTGGCTCAGGAATGCCACTGCGGACCAACGAGGGTAAACCCTTCGGACGAGTGGACAGGTTCCCGTGCCTGTTGCACAAAAACACAGACAGGACTTTATTATCCTGAAGTGCACCTGTACACTAAAACCTGGGTTTTTAGTTGGCTCTTCAGGTGAGATCAATCCGAGTTCATTTCTAAACGAGCAAGCATTGAACAGTACATTTTTATACAGCAAACAGCTATTGTTGATGTCCACATCAAACCCAATGGATGAATTCAAGGCCCCAAAAAATACCCTGAATTTGACTGACAGTACCTAAAAAAAAACAACTGTTTAAGCAATCCTTAACTTTGCAGGACTGTGCAACACTTGTCTCTGTTTCTTTTATGTGTTATGAGAATCAAATTCAAAATATAAAAAATCAAATTCAAAAAAATTAAAAACATTTACCACTTTAAACATTATACATAGTGTGTTTCTAATGTATTAAACAGGTCAAACAGGAATTGCAGATAACTGTATTCTGCTTGTCTCTCGTCTTTTTTAGTCTTTATCTACTTTATTGCTGTGTGTCAGTGGCAGTGCATGAAGCTGGGCTATTTTACATGGCGTATTTTCCGGGCTATAAGCCGCTACTTTTTCCCATGTTTTCAACCAGCTTTTCTGTGGATTTTTCCTAACCTCCAGATGGGGAAGTGAAAGTTGGAAACTAAGTTATAAGGAAACAAAAGAAAATGCTAGCAGAGGGCTCGAAAGTGAAAAAATGTCACAAATTCACGTAATTTATCATTTATTTGCCACATTAAAGCTCCCAAACTTATAAAGAGGCCGAGCTCAACTCCTGTAGAGCTGAGCTTCCTCTACAGGTTTGGTGGAAGACAGTTCAGTAGATATCAGCGGCTTATAGCCCACTGTGGCTTATATGTGTACTTTAAGTTTTTTAAAAACATTTAGTGGGTAAGGCTTATAGTGAGGCGCGCTCTATAGTCCGGAATGTACGGTACTTTAAGCAGGAGTAAGAAAGTGCTTCCTGGTGTAACTCAGAGCTGTTACCATCATGACGTTTTCAAAATACGCTCAGATATTCTTGCCTGCTTTGCAGGTGGTCATTTGGTCGTGAAGTACTGATTCAGTATCAGAGACTTTTTCCTGATCTGTTTCTTTTTATACCTTTTACTGTATTCTATTTAACCATCCTGTTATCTTCTGAAAGTCTTGATCTTATGCACCAAAATGAACACTAGAAATATCTCAAAATATAAAAGAAAAAAAAAACACAGCTTCCTTTTAAACAGCTTCTTGCATCTCTTTACTTCCACAGGCCTAGTTAAAAAACTAAAGAGAGCTGTCTGTGCAACCTTGCAGAGCTTAGTAAAGTGCATTAAATGATCAGAGAAATACAGTGATCGAGCTTCAAGTGTCAGATTCTAGTAACAATTAAATTACTGAGCAAAACACTATGTGCTTTTATGAATATGGGGAAATGTGCTATTTCGAGAAATTTAATTAAAGGCTAAGATTGAAAGTGATATGATTTAGTCATAAATCCAATTATCAGTTTGTTACCAAGCATTTAATCTGCTAATCAACATAATGATTCTCTAACCTTCACTCTTTGCTCCAGCTGTCAATACTAGAAAAATGTTCCTGTATGAATCGCTATTGCGTTTCTGCCATCACAGTGTCTAGATTTTGTCTCAGTTGATACCCTACCATCTGGTGAGGATTCCTCCCCAGGACTCCAGTATTTTCTCCGGACAATCTTTGGAAACATCTCCAGTTCCACTGGAGATTTCACTGTCACTGTCTGCAGGAAACAAATGCAAACACAGACAAACATCAATCAGTTTGATCACATGAATTTAAGTTACAGATAAAACTGTTATAAATAAAATGTACACATTTATTAGAGCCATCAACTAGTCTTAGTCCAAAGAATATGCTGTTCAGGGTTGTTAAGGCCTCACCACTTACAACAAGTCCGACAATTTCTGTTAACTACCAAAGCATCTCTACTCTTCATGAAAGTCAAGTGCAAATTTTGATATGAAAGTGGAAGTTTTATGGGAGGCATCACTCAAGTAAAAAAACTATTCATTTACAATTGCAAAATATATATGAGTTACTAAATAATAAATCAGTATAAACCTTTGTCTGATTCTTATTGAACATTTTAAAACCAGCTGGTATTGAACCCACACAGTTAATGGAGGCAGGAGTGCCTACACCTTCCATTATCACTGCTGGTGCATGAGGCAGACAAGAGGCAATCAGCACAGCCAACCACTTGTCTTCTAAAGGAGACCGTAAGGCTGCTTTACCGTATGATGCACAGGGACAAGTGCTGAAATGTTTTTTTACACTAGAAAAGCAGAATGACACAAAAGCACAAAAATACTCTTATGGCCGTCAATGGTGTCATTGCTTGGCCTTTTTAGATAAAAAAAATAAATAAATGCATAATACTTAAATGAAAGTAGATGGATTAAAATTAGTCATAAGCAATATGTCGCACAAGCTTACATATCTAAAACGAACACTTAAACTTGGTCTAAAGGTGGAGAAAGGAGGTATACGGTATGTTCTCCGAAATAGTTTAACCTTGGTGCAGCGATAAAAACACAGATTTTAGAATACTGCCTCATATATTGTTTACTGTTCCAAATCCAAAATATACGGAGATATTGAATTTAAGCTAAATAACTTAAGCCCTGAGTTGAATGTAATATAACTCTGCTTAAAAAATAAAATCTCATAATAAGGAATAGATATATGTTCAGTGTTAAAAGAAAGGAAAACATAGCCTGATAAACCAGAATAAATGTGAGATTAAATGTGTAATTTAGTCTGGCCCTGATGAATGAGACATCGGAAAATTGTTGATGAGAACAACCCGTTGTCTTTCAAACCATGTCTGTGCCTATTGGCCAACGCTCTGACCAATGAGCGCAACTGACTGTGATGTAATAGGCTGGTAGGGGAGTGTAAACAAACAGCCTGTCGGTAAAATGGCGAATACGTCCTTCTTAAAAATCTATGAGCGTACAGCCTCTTCCTGCTCACGTTTCAAAGAAAACCCCAAGGCTAGTCCTCCCTAAACTGATTCCAAAGCTGAGTCAAACAAGAACTGTTCAGTAGTTGCTGCAATCTTTCATGTTGTGCTTTCTCAACTGTCGCGCAGCTTTGTCGTGATGTTGTGCTTTCTCAACTGTCGCGCAGCTTTGTCGTGACGCCCTAGAAACCCCGCCCGCTTTACATCCAGAAATTCAAAACATATCTCTGCGTTGTGATTGTCCCGCCAGTTCTAGGGCCTGGGGAATTGATCGAGGCTAGACCACTGGCAGGCAAAAATAATTTTGGCCGCTGGTGGGTTACTAGGCTGAGGAAAACAGGTATTCTACTAAGACAAATTATTCAAAAGATGAAGAGCAATAAGTCAAATCTCTGCAGTTTCATCCGTCAGGGAATTCACCAGATCTGCTGTAAGACAGACAACTGCAGGAGATCCTTCCAGCATACTTCCATTAAAATCAAAGAAACCAGTATAATATGTGTAAAACAATCCAGTTTTCCAAAGGTATTAAAAAAAAATTTTGAACTCAACTTCCCACCAAAACAGCTTCTTCCCATCTGCATCTAGACTCATTAACAAAGTCCAGGTCCCCCAATCACAATCTCGTATTCCAAAAATTTTTTTTTTAAAACAATCCAATGGAATTTGTTTCCAAGTTTGAAGATGTTTCGCTTCCTGTCCAGGAAGCTTTCTCAATTCCAAATGTCGGGAATAGCTTTGAGTTTGAGGTTTTAAAACATCAAACGCAATGAAAAATATTAACAATGAATACCTTTTGGAGGTGCATGCACATTATTGTACATGATCTAAAGCCTTGGATGTTAATTGCGTTAAGGATTCAGTCAACACAGGCACCCACCAACTGATACTGATACAAGGGGGGGATAATAGGGAATAATGGCCTAAAGTATCCACCAAGTACCTCCATCAATAGTGTGTATATTAAATGCATGTTTATCAATGTATGGCTCTTTATCAACTAAGCAGAGGCACAACTTAAAAAAAAAACTGTTATTAAAGCTTTACTTGATCCAGATTTAATTTAAATAAAAATTGTAATTTAACGTAAAACCTGACCTTAATCTGACCTTCATTTGTTCCATTGCAGCGTCAGTGCATTTGAAAATATGATTAAATACAGCTACAATGTGCCATTATTTATGCACAATCATGTAGGGCTAATGAGGTTTTCAAATAGTTGATTTTAAAATGAGCAAGCTGTATTTTTTAAGGGCGTTATTTGCGTTTGATGGGCTGTGATTACATTAAGCAAAAGAATGGATTGATTTTTTAATCATCTGATAAAGTTCAAAGTGTATATTGTCATCATCTGAAACTATAAATCTGCCTTTTCTGACTGCCTTTTCATATAGTGAGGTATTTAAGTAACATGCGGTCATAAGCTCTTTGGCTGTACTGGTGCACAATCAGAAAAAAAAAAGGTCACACAAACACGAAAGCAACATAATTACACCAAATATGTTAAAGGGGCAAAACGTAGGCCTTCAGAGATTTAAATTATATAAACCAGACTCCAACCTTTCTGAGAATTTAAAGGCCTCGTTCATTCCTTCTTAATACTCTTTCTCAAGCCTTGACATTTCAAAATGAGTAAAAGCATGTGGCTATGCTGAATGTGCTGCGACTCCAACATCCTCACAGCCTCAGCAGGAGCTTTTCAGGTCTTTATAAATGCTTGATGAAGCCTTTCAAATGTTTCAGAACCAGCACATAAAGCTCCTGCCTTAGTCCTCAGATTTGTTGGAGCCACGTGGCAAGATAGCATGAGTCCAAAGCTCCTGCCAACTTACCAGGTGATGAAAGGAATTGGGGAGACAAGGACCATTACTATTAGCTTTTAATACGAGGAGGGACAGGCACATTCAGCAAAGGATTAAAAGGGGATCTGGGTGAGGATGGAGTCACAAATATACTGGGGTTTTTAAAGCAAGCAGGAATTTCTTTTTAATGCATGATGAATAAACGGTTACTGTAAATGACTTAGACTGCACATCTAATTATATTTGTCCCAAAAAAAGAAGGGAAAAAAAGAAAAAAGAAACAATTTCCTATTCCCATTTCAAATGAAAAGAAAAACTGAACAAGAATCACTTGTAAATGTGTTTACCCAGCTGTGGCATAGTTGGGCAGTGTGTTCATTACTATTACAATAAGAGTGACCGTCGGCCTCATAGCCCTGAACGCTTCCAATCTTCAGCTGAGGCAGAGGGGGGGTCGCCCACAGAGCCGGCTGAAAGGACTCAGACACAGCCGTGGAGAATGCCTCGTGAGTTTTCGGTGAATCGACAGATTCACAAAAAAAAGACACATTTTCCCTCCAATCCTGTAAATGCTTTTCACTGATTCAAGGTGAAAATAGCAGGAGACCGTTTCCAGCAGCAACAGGCAAACAGAACTCCAGGTTGAGAGGACTGTGAATAGAATTAATTAGAAATTACTACTAGAAATTAAAGAACATTATACTTGAATAGTGCTGATGTGCATTAGATTTATGCACTTCTGCTTTAAAAACTTTAAATTTAAAGGCAAACTTATATCATCTGGTTGGTAAATATAGTCCATCTGTGAAAGTAGGTCTTCTGGTGTCAGTGGTCTGAAGAAATTGTTGAAGAACATACCACAGCACGCATGTCACAAATAGAGTAGAGGAAAAGTTTGAAACTTGCACCCCTAATGTAATTTTAAACTTATGTTTAAAATAACATCCCCAGCTTTGGGATAATCTTTAGTCATCTGAAAATGTAAGAAGTGACTGTATGACACAGCTGCAAATTTATCCAAAAAGTGTAAATCGCGCTAAACTAAGCTCTGTAAGAAGAGCTTTAATCTGAGAAGCAGCCAAAAGGTCCTTGGTAACTCTGCAGGAGCTGAAGACGGCTCACTGGAGAGATCTGTCAACAGGTCAAGTTTTATTTGTTAAGTTCAGGCATTTAAAAATAAATAAAAAACCAAAAAAATAAAAAACTTTATTGATCTCACAAAGGAGAAATTTACCTCTGCACCTCCCCTTGGGGAGTAGTGGGCTGCCATTGTGCGGCACCCGGGGAGCAGTGTGGGGTTAAGGGTCTTGCTCAGGGACCCAGAGAGCAGGCAGGTACTTCCAACCCCCTTAGAGCACAAGCGCACTGCTCTAACCCTCTAGGCCAACACTCCCTCCAATGGGAGTGTCTCCAATTGTTCAATTGTTCCATGCAATGTGAAGCCCTCTAGGTAATTTGCAAAGTGCTAAGTGACCAGGCTAATGTGCAAGAAGATTGTCTGGTCAAATGACATCTATATTCTGATGTCTCGCTAATGAGAAATCCTGTGTGAGGCAGAACATGGGGGTGGCAGAGTTAGAAGAAAAATGTGAGGAGAAGAGGAAGCAAAAGGCTTCAGTCTGGGTGTCAGGTAAGGCTTCTAGTAAGAAAACAACCAAAGCTGAGAGCTACGAGGGAATGTTTTGGATCAAAGCATGTTCACTCAAAGCTCCGAACATAAACAATCCCAGAATCTTCAGCGATACTTGCAAGCTGCTTTTTGATCCAAACTACAAGAGCTTAAGCTTTTTTCACAAAAATACAATGACATACTTTTTAGTCTTAAAGGGGAACGTCGTTTTTTTTTTTTCTTTTTTACATTGGGCCCTTGATTTTGCGTTATTACATCATGTTCTACTCACCCATATGAGTTTTGTGTCATTTGGAGCCGTTCTGAAGATATTCTGTACACACTCTGCTTTGTTTAAAAAAAAATATATATAAAAAAGTATAACTGCGGATGTCTTGGGGACAGTGATTCGCCTACATGTTATAAATGCTGGCGTACCATACAGAATAAATTATGAACAGTTTAGTTTGTGCCTTCAACTCGCTGCCCAAAGGAAGACGTTACTTGGATATAACCTAACCTTGGTTATACTTTAGGAGAACATACAATATTGCAAAGGCTGTCATAAAGTATATTTAGAACATGCACTTGAGACATTTATTTGTAAATAAATGTGTAAATATCATTTGATTTTTCCCTCCATTTATCAAATATTCTCCAACTCGGTTTGGTCTATCACATCAAACGTAATTAAAACTTAAGGTTGAATACTTGAATGCTTTTATATAGACCTGAGTATCATTTCTGTTGCTTGGGAAAAACACCCTGTCCTTGGTAAAGCTCAGTGAAAATGTCCTCTATGGATTTACAAGATTATGCTCAAATATTTGTGTACATGCATGATTGCTAAATAAACAGCTCATTGATAACCAGTGTTACCTTTTAGTGTGTCTGAATGATAACCCTGAGACAAGATGCCAAAAAATGGGTCACATTTGGGCGCTTCTAGAGTCTATCTGTTCATATCGCTGCTTAATTCCTTCGGCAAAGACGCTTGTTATAAGAGGGAAAATGTTCAGTCTGGTAAATGGGTCAAGTTTTGAGATTCAATGACTTTCTCAGGAGAAAAAGTTGATGGATCACTTTGTCCAGAAGAGGCTGGTTTGTGTCATTTGATGTCAAAAGTGGAAAGAAAAAAGCTTATCGTAAAAATTCAAAAAATATCCACTGGACTTGGTTTTCAAGATTTGAAGACGTTTCGCCACCTCTCCAGGAAGCTTTCTCAATTCAAATGTCTGGATCCGCAACATTTGAATTGAGAAAGCTTCCTGGAGAGGTGGCGAAACGT